CACACAACTCCTCACCCCAAGAAAACATCCGAGATCCCTGAAATTCCCAAACTCATTACATGTGTGGCAGATTTGATTGGAAACGTCGCGCCCTGAAACCCCCAACGACACCCATGGGTAGTTGACGGGCGTTCCGCTGTCTCCATCTTTGATTGGCACTTATGGAAACGTGACACAAGAACAAGCGAAGCCACGAAGTTTGAAAACCACGCCGTTTCTGTCCCACCACGAGGCCGCACAGCAGACAGCAGCTTATAAAAATACTTGGACTGATTTTTTTGTTTTTTTGTTTAGCACAGTCGGGTTGGCTGCCACGGTTCAGTGAAAAGTATTATTCTCACTCCAATTATCAGCAGAAACTGTGATCCACCACAAACTGTGGGATAGCTGACAGCCATCCCTTCCTGTTCAGCTCACATGGTTTAAATATAATTAGAGCAATCACAATGTATATGGTTACAGGAAACATTTACTTTCTCTGTTTCTGGTGTTCTACATGTGATTAAAAACATTTTTATATGATTTTGGGAACAAAGGGTCAAAACAAGGACTGGTGTGGTAGGATGTGATAACCTGTAGTAAAAAAAAAAAAAATATATATATATATATATATTGTTTGATGATTCTGTAGTACTTATTCAAAAAGATAAAATGTTCTTCACTTTTATTTGAAACAAAAAAAAAAGCTTCAGTTATTTCTACTAAAACTGGAAGAGGCTGAAACATTTACTAGTAAACTAGCCAGCCTGCAGTCTGCTGCTTTACAGTCATGTTTTAGCAGCTAACCGAAGTAAAAAAGACTCATCGTTGTAACACTAAATTCCAATTTATGATGTTTAAAACGTCCTAAAGCTGTCCGTATTGTCAGCATTGTTCTCCTCTGTTCAATATTTGAATACATAATCAGTTGCTGTGTTCATTTTAGTGATTACTTCTTTGTATGACTCGTGTCATAAAGATATTTATTACAATTAGAAATATTTTTCAAAAGCAGCATTTGTGTTTGTGATGCTATTATTGCTGTGTCATGTAGTCAGCAACCTAAACAGTAATAAAGAGTTGTGAAACCACCCCAAGTCCTTTAGATTTTGAGACTACTTCAATAAACAGATTACCTCTTAGTTAGTTGTTTCTTTGTCGATAGGCTTAAAAGAAAGATACCATGTTCCTTTAGAGCCACTCAAAGTTGATCTGAAGGTCAAAGGGCACATGCAGTATGTGGTAGGGAAGGGTTAACAGCCTCCACTGCAAATTTTCGCCTAAATTAGCATCTGTGTCTCCATTTGGGAACTCTTGACCGGGGGCATAAATCTTCTCTTCATTTGGTCTAATCTGTTTGACTCCTTTGCTGCAAGATGGTCCATCGCTGATTTCAGACGCTCGCGGTCTATAAACACTTAAAAGTGTCTTGCCAAAGACAAGCAGACTAATGATAGCGATACGGGCAGCAGAGGCGGCTGAACGGCGTTGGTCGAACGGCTGGCAGGGCCCGAGGTGCTGAGAGGTTCTGGCAGGGCTCGAGGAGACCGGGCCGCCCGCTATGTAAACCCCGCAGCACATGTTCGACGGTCCAGCGAAACATCTCGGGCGGTATTTATTTTAACAGGCCAAATGATACGTCTATTTTTCTCGAGAGGAATGTTAACTTTTAAATGATTTCCCCTTTGAGGGACGAGCGCCGGGGCCAAGGGAGGAGACTGCACCGGGGCCAGTCAGCCGATTTCTGGAGGAAAATGGAAATCATCGCGAAAGTCGGGCTGACTGACGCCTCACTGAACCTAAAGTGAATCAACGGATTTATTTAGTGTTTGATCGGCTGGTTTTGGTCAAGATCTGCTTACAATCTCAGTAAACAATTTACATTATACACTGCAAAAAACACAAAATCTTCTCAAGTATTTCTGCTGTATTTCTTGTGCAAATATTTTATTACACTTGAAATAAGACAAAAGTCGCTTTTCGGCAAGATAAGGGGGCTTGTTTGAAGTCAGTAATTCCTTAATATTTGTGTTTTTAAAATACTGGCAGATTATTTCACATAAAAGATGGAAAAATGACTTTCATGTGAAATATTAATAACTAGACCAATATTAATAACTAGAAACTAGACCAATGCTTCGTAAGTTTTGGTGTTTTTGTAGTGTGGGGTTGAATGCTACTTTTAAAACGTTTTTTTTCACCCTCTCTCAAATAACTAATAATGTACTAATTTGTAGACAGAAATAAAAAGTGCTTTCCGTCAGACATTTTTCCCATGCTACAAGTGGTTTTACACTTGGTAAATGTTTTTGCAGTGTAATGAAGACTGCATCTAATGTCACCAGGGAAATATGTGAACGCTTAGCTACGACAAATAATATCCAGTACTTAACTGTGGATATGATGGCCGAAATGCTTTTGTTTATTACAGTTCAAACAAGAGGCTTTGGACTTAAAGCGCTTATTGGCTTGTTTACCATATTTGTACAAAATTACCCTCTTGTCTGGAGTTAAAAACTCTTAAATAAATCCTGAGAAAAACCAGCTAAATGGGAATGCTCTGAAAGACGTTACATAAGGACGCCTGAATTCTTTAATCAATGCAAAACACACAGGCCACCCAGGATCAAAGACACCTCCAAGTCTCCAGCTTTAATGTAAACTCCTTTTGACACAAAGACTGACATGATGAATCATCCAGTAAGGAAGAGAAAGTCAGGAGAAATGCTGCTGATGGAGCAGTAGGTTAGAGACCTAACGTTTATAAAGGGCTTTATAAACAGTAAAGCTTTAAATAGTTTTTACAGCCCCAGCATGTAACTTTTATTAAAAAAATAAATGTTTTTTACACATTTGTTAAAACTGTCACTATACTGTGACAGTTTTAACTGCACAGCAGTAAACGTTAAATTCCCCCTGATAAATTTCTTACATAATCAGTGAAAAAGTCACTCTCCTCCACCTCCTCCTGTGCTACTATTGCCATATTAAGAAATGCCCTTCTCCCAGGCAAAAACAGCAAATCATAGCCAGGGTCTCAGTGCTGTCAATCATCCTCATGAACTCGCTCCCAAATGTGCTAATGGCAAAGAAATGACTTACAGTTACAGGAAAACTATCATTATTTGTCATCAGTGGCCATGCTAAGTAGGCTTAGCATTCAGATCAGGCTCTGCTAGCTGCAGCGCAGCAGTGAGCAGCGCCACACAGAGGGTGACTGACAGCACTAAGACCCGCCTCCTGGTTCTGATTGGTTGTTTCTACTTAGCAGCAGAAGAAGACAGATTTTATCACAGATTTTCTGTCTCATATTTTCATGTATGGTCTAATCTGTTTGACTCCACTTTGTCATGAACTGCCATGACATCATGACACTTTCAACATATATGTAAAAAATATGTTTTATAAGTTACATACTGCAGTTTTAACTACTCTAAGCACTTTACATCAGAGCCACATTTACCTTAAAGAAATGATGCAGACATAAAAACTGATTAGGTGATGTGCAGACCACCTTAAGTGGGGGAAAAAAAAAGAAAAAAATGGTGGATGACTTTTCAAAGTCATACTTTCACTAAATTTGTTTAAAAAAAAAAAAAAAACATACATAAATAAACATTAGTAACTCAGATCAAAATGACCAAATTGGGTCCATCTGCTTCAACCAGTTCGGTGGTTTGAAAAGACAGAGCAGAGACACAAAAAGAAACAGATGAACCGATGTAGGATCACTTTCAGTGTTCATGAAGGAGAGGGAGAAATTAACACACTAGTTACAAGAGTCTGGTGTAAATCAGTCCGGCAGTCGGCACATGTCTTCATACATTTCAGACATTAGTGACGTCATGTTGTATTTATAATTTTTCTGAAAAGTCCTCAGTGATTGTGTTGCTCTCTCTCACCCTGCACACAAACCTCCACATAATTAATAACACATTGCCTTCCAGCAAATCTGCCTCCACCAGCAACACGCTCCCTATTAACACAAGCCCTGATGTCAGGAGAGTTATAAAAATATGAAGTTAAGGGGGGAAAAATAAACAGTTATGAAAATATGTTTCAGGACTGGCAGAGCGTTTACAGCCCAGAGAGGGCTTGTTTCATTAAAACAATTTCTCGTGTTTTAATGAAAAAGTTGTCCCTGCGAGAGGAAAGGGCCTGGTTGGTGTCAGGCTGGTGTGGTTTCTCCTTCCTTTGCAGAAACACCAGCATATGTGTGTGTGAGTGTGTGTGTGGGTGTGTGCGTGTGTGTGTGGATCATCAATATGATTAGGTCTGGATAATATTTAAAGCAGTTTTAGGTTGTAAAACATTGAATTCAGAAATACTTTATTTTACACCAAAGGGAACTGAAATGTTGCTGTTACTCTTATCGTCCAAGAAAAAGTCGCTGTGGATGGTGATGCTGTTGATAGGAAAGATCTGCAGTAGCAGTCAGCCGAGCAACAAATGTGAAGAGGGCTTCTGACTGAAGATTGTTGCTCTATGTTTTACGACTATCATGACATACTGTCAGCTTGGTTTTTATTAAAATGGCACTATCAGTTGTTAGTAAGCACTGCTAATCCACCTACTTTGCTTTCCCTCTCCTTTATGAATCTCTGCATGATTGACAGTTTAAATTTTCTCCTCCTCTGTCTGTTTTTTGTCCCCCCACTGTTTCTTTTTTACCTTTTAGCAATATCCGGGCAAGATCTCAATGTTGTGAACATAAAAAGATATTTGGAAGCCTCAGCAATTCAAACTGAACTGCTTTTTGTCTTCCTCCGCCGCCATTGCTAAAACTGGCTAGCTAGACTACAATTTTAAAACAGCGCAGGAACGAAACATTGTTCGCGACTTCTTCAGTTTCCTGACTGGCCCACCTTTAAAATTCTTGGCCATGGCCAATGGCCTTGCTTTGAAAGGCGATGACAAAAGGTTGCAAAGATTAAAGGGACATGAACATGTCTGCAAGAAGGAGTCCATTATTATATTTATGTATTTGATTCAATCTCTTTGTGTTTGTCTCGTTCTTCCAGACCGAGATGGACTGAGACGGTGAGGGATGGAGTGGCCCGACTCTCCTGCCACTTGCCTTCCCTATGTCACCCTGACCTTCAATCTTCATTCCTCCAGCAGGAACAAAGACAGAGTCTGTCCTGTGTGAGACTCCTCTGAACCCTGTCATAAAGCATCAGAAAGGCTGCAGTCAAGAACTGTGACATATTGGCCACCGCCTGCAGTGCCAGGAGCCTCCGGGTGTCCCAGTCATGAAACCATCCATCTCCACCGGCCCTCCTTCTGGACTCCTGCTGGTCCTGATGTGTTGTCCTCTGCTGGGCTTCGTCCAATCCGCCAGCAGCAGCAGCAGCAACAAGGCTGGTGATAAGGGACATCAGCAGCTGGTCGACACCGACCCAGATCGCTGCATGAGGCACCACTTTGTGGAGACCATCACGCATCCCATTTACAAATGCAACTCTAAGGTAAACTGTGAGACCGACACGTCGTTCTCTCATTCTTCCTTTACCAGAACGTTCCACCGGAAATGTTGCAAACATCATGGAAATAGATTGTTCCAAATAAGACCTCAGCAAACCGCAGAACGCAGGCCAAAGTACTTGTATTACTCCCGTTCTCCACCTCCATGTCTTTATCTCCATCTCTCAGTCAAGCACACAAGTCACGCTTTGTTTCTTACTCTGTGAGTGCATGTGTGTTTGTGAGTGTGTGTGGATAGAGTGCTGGACCCGAGCCACGCTGCAGACCTCAGCTGGGACTTGTTTTTTACCAAAGAGGACGTGTCGTGTCAGCCTGTTCTCTGCTACCTCCTCCAAGGGTCTGCAGGGAGAGAGATGGGTCAAGGGAAGCACATGAAAGGTGCTTGAGTGAATAACAATCCAGAGGAGCGGTTCCAATTCTGATGCTTGATGCTGAAGACAGCTTTGGGGCAACCACTTTACGTAGGAAAACTGGTGGTCCACTTAGCTGCAGCAGACATGCAAAGGCATTTTGTGGAAAGGTGCTGTCAATTAGGTCCCTTTCCTTTGTTGTGGACCACAGCAGCTGTTCCTCTGGTTTGAGTGATCTGCTCTTTGGTCTTTTTTAATGTTCTGACTCTGAGTGCATCAAGCAGGTGGTGAAACCACAGCTCAACTCAGGCAAGGCCTGCCTGCCCAGCATGAGTCCTCTGTAGCCATACATACAGAGCAGACAGGAAGCCAGACCAAGGCACCATTTCACACCGTAGACTGTAAAACAGAAAATACAGAAAATCCACATCCGTCACTTTTTAACTAAATGCTTGTTGTAAAAGTTTTTTCACTTTTTTTTGTCTGCATAATGACTTCATAGTGATTATGTTTTTTCTTCTATAGGCCAACCGGATGGCTGGAACATAGCTCAAGCTCTGTCCGATTGGACGGAGAACATTTGATAACATCAATTTTCAAATCTTGCTTAGGACTCTTGATAGGGCTGCCAACGTTAACATGTAAACACACACGGTCAATCTGAAAAGTTTATCATATTCATATCACATAATGCAGATTAATTACATTACCGATCCTGTTTTGATCTAAGAGCCTCTCTTGCATGGACGTGTCACCTTGTGTCCAGCAACTTAATGCTGTAAACACTGGGCCGCATCAATAAGTTAGTGACCTGGTCTGTTCAGATGAACTCCCACAACAACCTTCAGTGTTTTTTCAGCTCCGTTCGTCGTCACATTAACTTCAAAGCGTCCCCTCAGCATAATGCTGCCACCACCATGTTTCCAGATGAATTTTATAGTAAATCACATGAAATCCATTCACCGCATTAAAGCATTAAATGTGGCACAAACCTTCACATGTGAATGGCGTGGGGAAAAAAAGCACATGGAGCATACATGGAGACTCGGTACAAAACATGTGATTCCCATTGTTTCCACACGCGTTGCACATATGTCAGCAAGTCTCACCGTATAGAAATATGTGTATCACATATGATACATGTGTGTATCACGTGTTGTAGTTTTTCCAGCACACGCTCCTCCATCCTGGTGGACCAAAAAACATCTGAGGCCTGCACAGAACTGCAACATGTGTTCTGAGATTAAATAACACGCACCGCTACACCTCTGGAAGGAAGAGCTTGTGCTAGATGTTACGTTGGGTTTCCAGAGCAAAGGGCTGCCGCTGGTTTTAGATTGTTGTTGTAAGAAAAGTTGCACTATTTTGTGTTGTTCTATCACATTAAATTCCCCCATCATTAAATGTAAAAGAAATGAATTGAACGTGCCAAAGTGCATCGACACGTATTCTGAAATTTGAACGATTGGTGAGATCTGGAACTGTCACGCTGAGCTACTAATGAACATGTTTCTCCGGTTAGCCTGACATTCGTCACAGCTGTTCTCATCGTCTGAGGCAAATAAACGGTCATTTCTAAGTGATGCGGTGAAACCTAAAGCCGCCTGGCGATAGCCTGGCTTGTCCGGGCTGCTGATGTTTATCGAGGGATATGTGTAACTGATCAGTTATTAGTAATGGTCAGTTACAACAATAGACTTGAGAAATCACAAACAGGTGCTTACAGGAGTGTTTTTACAGCTGGCTTGTGTGAATTCCACCTCAATAGCATCTTTCAACAGGATGTGTGCATTTTTCTTATAAACACTCAGTTTTTTTATTTATACTGTTCCAACAAAGTATGACCTATTCCCACAAAATTGATCAAAAATAATTTAAGTACATTTATTTTGTTAGAATGATTTTAGATCATTTAGTCTTTGATTTTGAATGATGATTTATTATATCTAAATGTACACAGTTTAGATTTTTACTTCACAGCCCTCATTTTTCTTTTAAGATAAAAAACAGCAGATGCTTAAAAAACACATGAATAACTTTAGAGAAAAATACAGATACGAAATGTATCTTAAGCATTTGTGTGTGTGATTATCTGTCGCATTTTTCATTTAACAGTTCAATAATTTTTTCCAGTGTTCTATACGAAAACATCACGACAGACCATTAAAACTATAAAGTGGTTTGAGTTTTGACATGTTTCCAGTTCATCACGTGGCACATTAGCTGATGAAATGACACCAGCGAGACAAAGCCAGCTCATTTTCAAAGCCAGCTTTGAACACTGGGGGTGAATATTTGTCTGAAGTGAAGCTGGTTCAGTCAAACCACCATCTTTTACAGGTATGAGTTCTCACTGGTCTCCCAAAGCGACACTTTTCCCAAACTATTAGCTGCAGGAATGCTTGGAACCCAAAATAACTCCAAGTTATTTGTTCAATCTGGTCATAATAAATCAAAATAACTTTTCTGTCCAGTTTTTCTTGTCAACTCCACCCAGAGAGCAGTCCTTCCAAACAAATCAAGCCAGCTTCTTGCGTTTATTTGTCCTTAGTTTTTACAAACAAACAAAAAAAAAAAAACAACAAGTGTGAGATGTGGCAAATTCCACCGAGTCTTTCTACCTCGACCTCAATGTCTGATGATGAAGAAGAGATGCATGTTCAAGGCCACTCGGTCGTCCTGCCCCAAAACAAAGACGGTGAAACCGTGACGGCGCCGCATCACTAAAACATCGACACATAGTGCCTACAAGCACATGACTGACCATTACACGACCTCCCTCAGGATGGTGTGTGGGTTTAAATTGCTTCTCGATGGTTTTAAAACATCATAGTTTAACACCCATGTAGATCTTCAGAGGTCTCCGGGGTGCAATAAGTCCCTCTCTCTTGGAAACTATAACCATATGATAAGCCTCCAGCTCCAATATACTTTCTTGGTATTTTTTTTATTTTTATTTACTTGTCCACACTCTTGTACGCAGTGTGAGCCTGTAGCTAGGTATTTACAGATCACATTGCACATTCAAGTCTTTAATTTGTAGCCTTTTCTTCCTAAAATTTACCATTTCATCACATGTTTGCATGAAGGTTAAAGATAAGTTCATTTGTAAAGCACATTTTAGCAACACGGAAGTTCAAAGTGCTTTACACTCATGTATTTACAAGCATAATACACTAACCAATTATGAAACAAGCAGTAAACGTTCCATTTTGTCAAATGTCATAATCAAAATCATCAAACATACATGCATCAAAAATGCTGATTAATCTTCCAGTTATTATGAATCAAATGCAAACAGGTGGGTTTTTAGCTCTGACTTAGAGGAGCTCAGTATTTCAGCTGTTTTGCCGTTTTCAGAAAGTTTGTTCCACATTTGTGGAGCATGGAGGGTCGGGACGGGGCGAGCAGATGAGGGGGGAGAGCGACGGCCCGATGCTCGGCCAGAACAAAGACAAATGGTCTTAAAGTGGCGACAGCACTCCTGACGTGTGTGTGTGTATTTGTGACATCCTGCTATGGCCCCAGACAGGCTTTTGTCAAAGTGGGTACACGGGTGGCGACACACAGCAGCTGACAGACGACATGACACAGGAGGCTGTTTAGGGGTGGCGACAGGAATGCAGTGACCCACAGAGGAGCGCCAGTCGGATGGTCACTAATCAGACTGCTGCTATGTGTGTGTGTGTGTGTGTGTGTGTGTGTGGAGATGGGTCAACCTTGAGGGAAGACTTGATACACCCCTGTCTGCTGCGTGTGACTAAACGACCTCAGGTGTGGGAGTGTGGGACCGGCTCCTGTTGCTATCTCTCATTTCACAGGTGCGAGGCCTGGGAGTAGGAGGCCACAGAGGCGCTAGACGCTACTTCCCATCAGGGCAGACTCAAACAGTGCTCCGCTGTTCTCACACCGCCCTGTTGCCCGGATCTTATCTTGATGTTGATGAAAACCCTCTGTGCGACTGACCTGCCCTCTCTCATGTCTCCGCAGATGGTGTTGCTGGCGCGCTGCGAGGGCCACTGCAGCCACACCACCCGCTCAGACCCGCTCATCTCCTTCAGCTCTGTGCTCAAGCAGCCCTTCAAGAGCTTCTGCTCCTGCTGCCGACCACACACCTCCAAGCTGAAGGCGGTGAGGCTGCGCTGCGCCGGCGGGACTCGCATTACGGCCACCTACAGATACATCCTCGCCTGCAACTGTGAGGAGTGCAGCTGAGTAGGCGGCAGTTCCCTGCAAGACCCCAACCCCCCCAAAGGCTCTCGTTTTTCTTGGCCTCGGACCTCGTTCTGAAACTGTTCGGAATGCTCCGTTGATTTTTGGACATGGAGTTATGCTCCAAAAATCCTGGATGCTAACAGTTTGGAGGAATCAAATCTGCCCTCACCCCCCCCTCCCCCCTCACCCCACCTTCCCCCTTCACGTGCTCCTAATAATTGACCTGCAGCTCTGGGACACATGTAGAACACGCCATACCTTCTCCATTATAAGTGCTTTCAATCATGACGAGCCATGCAAAGCATATTTCTTCAGCTCACAAGGCCAAACACCGCAAACTGCTGATCCCGGGGGCCGGTTTGAGACCCTTCCCCGCCCGAGAGACACACTCCGCTCATTACAGGCCTCAGTAATCCATCACACACACACACATGCGCGCGCTCTCAAACCGCAGTGTGGCGCTTCGAAGTATCTGTGACAGCTAAGCGAACCCCTCCCAGACGTTTGACAACAAGACAACACGCCTCGTTAAAATGCAGGACGAGGCCTCCCCAGACGCACGGTGTAACTCTACAGGAACATCTGCATTGTTACTCAACCAATAACATTTTACACACTTCCTGCAGACCTTCATGTAGCCGTGCAGAGCTTCACTGTTGCTTACAGGAGAGCTCATCATGTAAACGATCTGGGAGAAACAGAGGGCAATGGGAGCCCTGAGGTTAAAACACAGCCAAGGACGAAGGCGTTTGCCCTCCAGTGGGTGTTGGTTTGGACTCTCCCTAGACTGTCACTTATGTTAGTGTTCATAATCTCTATCTGAGTCTTTGTGATGTTTGTGTCAGCGTTGTTGTAACCGCAGCCTCCATCATGCCAGGCTGATAAGAGTGCCTTGCAAAAGAATTTATTCCCCTTGAGCCTTTTGTCACATTGTGAAATTGAGATTTTACGCGATAGATGTAAGAAGGCAAATGTGACACAGATCGACTTCTTCTTTCTGCTGGTGGTGGTCAGAGGGCAGATGGAGCTGGTTTGTGGTCCAGGGCAGCTGTGGCTACAATCCAGTAGCCACAGGAGTGTACAGAAAAGCGCAATACAAGTCTGATGTTATTTGATTTCATTGCCCCTAACAGAAGACATAAGGAGGACTGTAGACATTAGCTTCAGGTCTAGTGGTAAGATGGTTTCCATTTCACCAAGACTTAGGTATATTTGGTCTTTGAACTATTAGTAAAGGCAGTTAGAAACATTTTTAGAATATTCCTGTAAACCATCAGAACTGGTGCATCTCACCGCCTCCTGACTCTGCAACACCTTCGGGGCCAATTAGAGCAGAAACTGTGAGCCACAGGCCTTTTTGTCCCACATCAGTGTCTTATCTCGTCGATGCTGTTATGAAAGAACGGTCAAAAATTCCCGTCAATCACATGTGAAAACATGGGAGTCACATGGATTTTTTCCACAAAGTATTCCAAAGTCACACGTAAACGTAAAAATTTGCACAAATTTACAGATTTTGCATTTGTAAAATTGTAAATTTTCTATGCGGTACATGATTTTCAGATGTGATTTTTACATGTAAAATTTGATATTTTTATTACATATTCAGTATAATCACCAAATCTTAACATGGAAAAAAATCTGATATGTGATCCCATGTTAAATAAACCATGGATCACATGAACAAAATACTTTATGACGTGTGGAACATGGGAACCACATGTGATCACATGAGAAGTTCATGGGATATTTTTTGTGAGGGCCTCCTGAGGAAAACCGTCCCGGAGGAGATGAAGCTGAAATCACCTGGATGTCTGGACCGACATCCGTCTGTAGGCGAGCAAAAACCTCTGGCAATATATTGCAGATGAAGCTCAGTCAGATTGGAAAGAAGGCATCTTTAAGTCTTGATATTGAATGTAGGTCTGGACTTTGACTGGGACATTTAAACAAATGGCTGCTCTGCGACCTGAACTGCCCCGTTGCAGTTCTGACTGGATGTTTACGGTTGTCATCATGAAACGTTCTTCGAGGTTCTGATGGTCCAGTGCTGACAACAAACGCAGCAGTTAGAGTTTTTTTATTTTCTTCCATTTTATATTTATGCACGATTTTCTGTTCTATCACGTAAAATCCCTATAAAATATATTCAAGTTCGTGATTATAATGTGACAAAATGTGAAAGTGGTGTGAATACCTGTACAAGGCACTGTACAATTGCTGCTATTGCCTGTTGTTTGTTGTTACTCCTTCCATGTTGAATCGGCGCTACGGTCGCTCTGCAAATGTTCATACTGCTCGCGAGTGTTGTTACCAACAACGACGAATACAAAGCTTCAAACGCTTTCACATCTCCTTCTGTCTGTGTGAGACTCGTTCAGCCTTCAGTCTCTGGTCAGTGTATAAGTGTATAAATATGTCAGTGTTCAAATTGTGGTTTTTGTATAATTAAAACTCTGCAACCACAGTGTGTTCAGTGCTTACATGCGTCAAGCTGTTTGGTTGACTTTACTTTTTTGCTCATTGGAGTACACAAGATTCAATGTCTTTTGTTCTCAAAAGACATTGAATTTTTCTTGCATTTTCATTTTGAGAGCAGAACTTCATATCTTTCTTCTCAAAATTTGGAATGATTGTACTCAAAACTTCCTGCAATCAGACTTAGTCTCTGCTCTACTATCGATTGTGGCAACCTGCACCACCCAATGAATGTAAGGAGAAACAATGACATGTCTGAAGTTGTTTCTCCCTACATTCTGCTCCGTAGTACACTAAACATCCGCTAGCATTTTGCTACTGAACACTAACAGCTACTGATCTTAGGCAGGAGTTTGTTCACCCAGCCAAGTCCCTACATCCAGTGAGTGGTGCAGGTTGATGCAATCGATAGTAGCCACACAGGCACACCTGTTAAAAGGGAACAAACACACCCAGTACAACACTTTCATCCTATCGGCTGAGAGGTTGCCAGACGACTGTGCCAAAAGGCGTTTCCAAAGGCGAGCAGAGAGTTTGAGCAGAGTGTGACCGCGAGGAAAAGTTGTGGTTTTCATAAGGTTTCATACAGTTTTTCCATGTATGTTAATATCATATGAAGTTTTATATCTTTATCTTTAGAATGGAAATGCACCACAAATCTATGATATAAACAGAAATGTTCCATAAGTAGGAAAGAAAGAAAAGATACATTCAAAGTATTTGGACTATTTCTGAGTTATTATCACCTCATGTCTCTATTGTGCTGGTCTGAATGGTTTAAAGGGCTGTTTTCAGTGCCATCTCAGCCTTACACAAGCAGACATAAATATGAAGTGAATAAATCCATTTTTAATCAATGTTTTGGACCAAAATGTTAAGAATAAACATGTTTTCACTGATACTCTTTAAATGTGTATATATCTGAAACTTTAAATTGACATATGTGACTGTATGGGTGAATTTTTCTGCCGTAATAATTTTCCACCAAGCCAAGATAAATCAGTGAACAGACCTTCTAGGCCCAGTATCTTCATACTACAACCAGTTGAGACTCACTTAAACTATGTTGTCTGCAATATTTCTACTTGGTCTTTAGGGAGTGAAGATTCATGCAGTCAGCTAATTTATGTTACCAAATCATATTTTCCTGTCAGTATTTTGTGAAAAGTCAGTTTTCCCTTTATTGTTTTAAGTTTTTTTTGTAAATAGGATGAATTAAAAATGCCAAATTATGTCAGTAATATTGCAGCTAATCGTCATTTCTGACCCATCGTCGTTTGACTGTGGATCAAAGAACATTCCCGAAAGTTTAGATTTTAACAGATCAGTTAAGCATTATATAAAAAGCAAAATCAATAAGTGATCAAGAGCATTATCAGGGACACAGTGAGAGACATGAGCAAAATCAAAAGGTTTTTATTGCTAATCTGTCAGTTTTTACATATTAAAAGGAGAAACAATGACATGTAAAGGAACTTGTTTCTAAGTTATTGCAACAGTTATAAATAGTCTATTGACCTTTACAATCATTAACACAGTACTGCTGACTGACTGACTGCATTACAGTAAATATGTAGCTCCATAAATGCATGTCAGTAGTGTTAATCCATGCAGCCGCTTTCATTAAACCGCTGACATAGTAAGTGTTTCTCACCAGCTGCTGACAACATGAACTGAATGGTCCAGATTTGATGCATTTATTACAGGAAATCACCGACTTTGAGCAACCTTCCTCTTGCAGCCCTTCAAAGAAACCACAGAGTAAAACAATGTAAAACATGATGTGAAAACAAAATGTCTTTAGAATGGAAAGTATTTTTTTTTTATCAGAATCATTTCCTGTGTGATTATATTAGAAGACACCTTTGCAAACTCTGAGGCTCATTACAAACAAAACTAAATAACATGTTGCTTAGATGGAGACCTTTCTTATTTTTAATTCACTTATTTCCCTCATGGAAAGATATCAATTTTATTCATGCAATATATATTTTTTTTAATTATTCCAACTTGCAATGTTTGACCAGCATAAGGAGCAGAAGTGAAAGCACACACCAGTCCACACTCTGGTGTCTGGAAGCATAGAAAAGATCATAAACCCCAAGATTACACTAAAACATTATACTGGACAAAACTAGTAAATCTCTAAGACAACACAAAAATTAAAGCTACTAATAAAATATAATGGTTCTTGCAGCATCTAGATTTCAGTTTTGGGCCTGCTCTGTGAAAGTAGTCAACAGTTTCACCAAGGAGACAACAGCAAATCTCTGAGCAAAGCTTCGACATGCTCAGCCAACGCTCACTGGATTTGATCTCAGTATTTCTCACTTTTCCGACCAGTCAATCAGAATCAATCTGCGCACCTTCTTGCTTTTTTGATAGCTTGAATAATTTCAGGCCAACGCACCTGAGCAGCAGAGAACGTCAGGAAAAACTATGGATGTCCGAGCCGAGCTGAGCCGAGTCAGCAGACTGTACAGCTCACATGTGGGTTCTTTTTTCCCAGTAACTGCAATACAGGATGACAAACAACACAGTTTGTCATCCTGTATTGTTCAGGATGACAATACATCCTGAACTGTATTGTCATGCTGGAATTAGCCAAGTGCATTTCAGTGACAAACTGTGAGTGAAGCAGGTAATTAATGTCTTTAGCAAATCTTCTATCAAT